GACATTAGCACATTTAATGGTGCTAAGAAGCCATGCCATGAACAAACCATTTCATTGTTGTTTATCTTTTTTAAAACTAGCATTTTCCAAATTGGTCATTATGCCTTTTTTCCCCCCCTTGGAACACTTATTAACAGCCCATGTTATTGATGGGATACATTTTGGAAAAGGTGAATTTTGTAATCAGGGCCAGGTGCTATTTGATACCTTAGTGTTTGGCTCCATTGAACCACAGCCACCATTACAATATCCTGTGGACTAAATGATGCTAGCCAGCTTAAAAGTTTGGAAATTTGTATGTTGCAATGGACAGGATTAGAGTTCAGGAGAGCTGAGTTTCAGTTACAGTTCTACCATTTACTGTGTGGCCCTGACTACTGACTGATCTTTACATGGGCAGGTCTCAGTGTCCTCATCTATAAAATAACACTCTTTTCATATGTCTCACGAGATTGGAAGAATCTCTGAGAAATAGTAGTGAAAACAACTTAGAAAAATTAAAAATGCTATCAGTGAAAGTGGTATTACTACTACTCTAGGAAAAGGAATTGTAGGAGCAGTGAATGTTAGATAGGGCAGTCTTGAGGTTGAGCTATGCTGCTTCCCTTTCCCCCCCGAGCAAGCTTGGATCCCATTGGCTACCTGCCTGAAACATTTTCTACTCCTGAGCGTCTTAATAGTTAAAAAGATTCCCAGGTGCTTGTGCCTTAATGTCAGTGGCTCCATCTTTTGTCAGTGTTCTTAGACTTGCTTACACAAGCCATTTCACAATACAATATGTAGTTTAGCATTGTGTACGTATGCCTGCCTTGGAATATTCAATACTGAATTGTAATTATGATGCACAGTGGGAAAGAAGATTGTTAGGATTTGATTAATAGGCTCTAGCTAATGGGTTTAATGCTCAGCATTCTCATACAATTCAACTTTCTTTGTGTCTACCTATAATATATTTCTTTTCTGTTAGAAGATATTAAGCGAGGTGATATTGCTTTAACATTAAACAATATGTAAAGGATGAGAAATATCTGGAGTTACTGTTTCAATCCTATTTTTTTTTCCTGTTGTCTTATTGGTTAATGTTAATGGAGGGAGACAGTTGTATAACTCATTTCCTTATTGAGTGTGGAAAAACTTAGGTCGGAGTCTGAGTAAGCTATGTGAAGCTACAGAAAGATTAAAACCATGTTTTCTATAGTTTTAAGGCCAAACATTTCATACAACTGAGAACTATGCCTCGGCATTGTAATTATTTAAATTTTCTGTCTTTGGAAGTAAAAATGTCCCATTTCTGATTTTTACTATTTTAGCTGAAAATTTTAGGTCACTTTCCCATTGTGAAATGTTAGAGAGCTTAGAAATTACTTTTACATTTGCTTTTTAAAAAACTGTTAACTACTCATTTTCTAGTTCCACAGAGAGACTTCAGTTTTAAGGGTTTTTTTTTTTTTTTTTTCATCTTGTGAAATTGTGTTCCTGGCAATAGAGATAAACTTCATCCTTCATCATAAAGTACTTCTTCTTTTACTTGATGTACAGAGGCAGTTATGACACAGAATTGGCAGAGAATGTGCCATATTCTTTTTTCTTATTTTTTTCTGTCAGGATGTTCTCACGTTGTCCTTAAAATAAATCATCTCTCTGATGTTTTAAAAACAAAACCAATAAGCTAGCCTTATTATTCCCTACAGAAGGTGATTTTAAAGACAGTAGAAATAATATTTCATAAATTTAATTTGAATGTCAGAGTTCTAAAGCTGTGTCTTTAAAGATAAAATTGAGAAAATATTTTGTGGGCTTTAATTTTTACTATGTCTGTTACAGTATTGTTTCTGGGAACATATTAGAATGTCATATTGATTTTGATACCTAAAATCTTTGGCTTTGTCTTTAAGGGATATTATAAACTGTATTTAGAACCATCCAAATACAAAAATGAATTTAATTAAAATCTGTGCTTGTTTTATAGTGAATTTACTAATAATTATGTTACCAATTTGTCAGAAACACCACATAATGAAAACATTGTTTCACCTTTTACGTATGTAATTGGATAAGATCACCAGATGCTGATTTTAAGAGGATATCAACAGGAAAAGTTGAAAATGGAAGCTGCATGGGAAAATACTAGAACCAATTAGTTCTGTCAAAAACCATATGACTAAGAATAGGGGAGAAAAATATATTTTGACCATGAACTGACTTCAATTCAGTTAATAATGGAAAGAAACAGTAAGATGGCCTTTGCTGGAGTTTTCTTAGGCTTTTGATAATAGCAGAAAATACCTTGGAAATTGACATGTCACAGTCAGTGTTTGAAAACCCATGTTAGGGTACTTTTGTTTTTCTAACATTTTATTTTGATAATTTTCAAACATACAGAAAAATTGAAAAAAACTGCGAACACCTATGTATCCACTACTTAGCTTGTACAATTAACATTTTGGTGTATTTACTTTATCACATGTAATCATTCTGTTATCTGTTGGTCATTCTGTCTTATTGTTTTATGTATTTTCACGTAAGCTGTACGTATCCAGTAAGTTCAGTCCTGAACACTTGAACATACATATCATTAACTAGAGTTCAATATTTGTTTATGGTTCTTTTTTTGAAATAAAATTTACATAGAGTAAAATGCACAGAACTTAAGTGTACCATTTAATAAGCTTTGAAAAATTCATTCACTCGTGTAATTAAGAAATCGAGATAAAGAACAAAATTCCCTCATGCCTTTTTACAGTCAAGTCTTGTCCCCACTCCCACTCTCAGAGGTAACGGCACTTGTGAAATTTTTCATCATAGATTTATTAATTGAGCTTGTTCTAGAACTTCATATAAATGGAATGATCCAGTATGTACTCTTTTTGGCTAAGGCTTTCACTCAACGTTTTTTGGGTTTTTAAATTTTTTTGTTTTTAAAAAAATTATTTATTTTTTATTGTAACAAGTTGATTGTACATATCTATGGGGTAAAGAGTTGAATATCAATATCTGTGTGCAATATGTGATGCTCACATCAGTATAATTATATATTCAACATTATACAGTATAATTTTTTTTTCATGTCCCTTTACCAATTTCACCCTTACCCCCCCCCCCCCCACACCTTTCCCA